AAAGGAAGGGCAGAGATGGAGACCTTAGGAGATACAGACAAGATAATAACCAAGTTAGTTGACAACGTCTAGAGAGTTAGCTATGGTGACATTGGCAACATGGACAGGAGCCGGGTCAGGAGAATATTTGCCTCTCAGTTTCCATATTTTTTTCCAGACTGCACTCAGAGGAAGCCAAAGTGATGAGAGAGAGTCCCGCCAACAAGTGCAAGTAGCTTCCTGGATGACATGGCAGGTAGCTGCTCTCATCCACTTAAAATCAAGGAGGTGCTCTACCATCATATTGTACCAATATCTCCCCCAAGCAGAAAATTTCACATGTACCGCACATGCACACACAGGAGACAACCAAGGCAAGCACCTCTGGGAATGCCTCCCCGAGGTTTGGGGTATAGAATGTGAAGCTGCGGTTAAAACCGAGGTCGAGGAGAGTTGTAACAGCTCATCAGTGGAGGACGGAAAGGGATTCTCACTAAAAGCCGTTTGACACGAGTAAAGGTCCCAAATTTGCTCGGTCAAGTTGTCAGTATGGGCTGCGAGGAGGTGGCGAGTATGAATGAGAAGGATGATTAGAAAATGATCTGTCATGCAAGTCTGGGAGGACATACCAGGTAAGTCTAGTGCATTCGAGGAAGAGCAAACCAAGAGATCGATGCAAGAAAGATTGAGTGCAAGGATCAAAATAGGTGGAAGAACCAGTTTTTAAAACATGGAGGGGGAGATAAGTGAGAAAAGCCTCCAACTGAATGCTGTGGGAGTCAGTGAGACCCCCACCCAAGTACTGAGACTGGAAACGAGAGATTTACTCTTAGGGCATCTGTTGGATTTTGAAGTAGAGGCAAGGAGGAGGCATTGTGCTAAGTCTTTTAGACATCAAAGCTTGCGTGCGAGAAGATTGGAGAATAGTAGACGAGGTAGGGACCTCAGAGTCCAGGGCTCCAAAATGGTTAGGCGAGACTGTGGAAAGTGTTATTGCATGGAGACCATGGGAATTGGGACCCCAGAAGTTGGGAGTCTCTTAATAACTCAAGAATAAGAAGGAGAATCTCTCTGGAGGTGTAGACGAGAGACTGCCAGGGCATAAGTAAAGCCTTCTGTCTCTGAGGCAATGGATTTCACATTCATCCAAATAGACCTGGCAGCGACGAGAATGACAGATGTGCTTCATGACTAAGGCAGGAGGGAGGTAGGCCACAAGATGTATTGGTGTGGTCATCGGCACCACAGACTGGTCATTCAGCCATGGACCTGCAATAGTTTGCTGGATAGCCAAACTGCCAGCAATTTCTACACTGTTGTGGTGTAGGGGTTACATGTCGGACTTGTAAGCAGTGTCTCGCAATGTAAACCAATGATGGAAGCTCATGGCAGTGTAAAAGTTAAGCTACATTGGAGTGGTGGGGGAGTAGTTTGTCTGCCCACAGGCAGGCAGTACACACGTGTCTACTTTTAAGGATCAAGTATTGGAGCTCAAGCTGTTCCAGAATGTCATAACCACGTATCTGGAAATTATGTTGAACAATGGTATGTGGCACAATCACAGTACCACTGCAAGAATTAAGAGTAATGTTTTTTCAATTGTAAGTAGAGAAAAATTGTGAGCTTGGCTAGCATTCTGTGCTGTGACGATGTGTGCACCGCTCGAGAGCATGAAATGGAATATTACGACCAACTTGGTGTAGGAGCGCCTTGCTGATACTATCATCAGAAAGATATTCTGATGATGTCGGTTGTAGAGTGAAAAACTTTGTTCATTGTGTACTGTACTACATAGTATGTAAAGGAAGTTGATTATCGTGGTCTTTTAGGAGTAGAATGAGAGTCAGTCGAAAAAATATCAGAAGATTGTGTTTAAATGTAAGACCAGAGGTGGTCCGTGTTGAGGTGGGCACGTGATCCAAAAACCGTCACACTGTATGGGGAAAAGCTGGAAGCATAGTCAAAGATTTGTAGAGGCCAAGCCTGTGTCCAGAGCGTGGAACAAAATGTCACTCGCAGAAGATACAGGGGCAGTAGAAAGGTCCAAAGAATGGTCTGGTAACAAGGCAGGGTCGTCAGATGGTGCTGCTGCTGGTAGAGACAAAGGAGGAGGTACATGGACTTGGGATTCCATGGTTAAGTCCCTTTTCTTTTAAGAAAAAGTTAAAAAGTAAGGGGGGTGGAAGGGCAGCTCTCAGGGTAAAAAAAGAACTGCAAGTCATCCCTTACGTGCCCAAAAGGACAACCTCAGTGCAGCCGGTAGTGCAGATGTGGCATGAAACCCATGCCTTACGTTGCCCTTCAAGCCAGTAAACCAGTAATCCGGGATAGCAACCTCACATCTACCGACTCGCCTCGGCGGAGAAAAGGGAGAGTGGTCGGAAACTCTCCACAAAGCAAGACTCCTTGGGGCCACCACCACCTGGAATCTGACAGGTAGCCTCCCGAGATACACCCATCATCTGAAAGACACCCGAAGCCTTCCTCCCTTCCCAGTAGACTGGAGGAGGATTGGAATGTCTAGAGTCTAGATGATCCACTACACTACTAAGGACCTCAATGAAAGGAGACTGTCCCCAGAGCTCCTCAGGTTTAGGAACTACAAAACCTCAGGGAACAATCTCAAAGGCAGAAACAGGAAAGGGAAAGCAGAGGGATGGGCGAGATGAAAGATAAAGGGGTGCCAGGGAGGATGTGATAGGGAAGGGGGGATTGGGGATAATTAGGTTTGGTTTGAGGAAGACTCAAAGGTTAATTCCTCAGACCGATAGCCTCTTCACCGTGTTGATGAACCCCCCTCCCTTTCTTTAATTAAATTTAAGGCAAACCGCAGTTGACTGTTTACTATCACAGCCGTTACAGCAACTATCTGGGTCTTATCTCCATGTTTATAAAGAAATCCTATTATACAGTTGGTATTGTACAGACATGTCATTTAAAACAAACTTTAAACATCTGCCACCAGAAGTGGGTGACTGACCATCTTAGCCACTGTTCACTATGATGGAGGATTAAGAATGATTCCAGTGGGGCTGCAGTGGCGTTGACCTCCAAAACCTTCTCCAGGTGAAAATAAATGGTATAGAATACTGACAATGGAAAAACGCATATGCAGTTTAATGTGATCCTTTATTGACAGTTTCGCCCACACAGTGGGCTTTTTCCAAGTCACACACGGATCTACCTGGGGTGGAAGGTACGGGAGTATTTATAGTCAGGTTCAGAATGTTGAGGTCAGGTTGGAGTCGGGTAGATAATCAGATGCAGCATTCTCCACCTGACCTCAACATTCTGAACCTGACTATAAATACTCCAGTACCTTCCACCCCAGGTAGATCTGTGTGTGACTTGGAAAAAGCTCACTGTGTGGGCGAAATGTTGTCAATAAAGGATCACATTAAACTGCATGTGTTTATATTTCCACCTTCTCCAGGTATAGTCATCACACTATGGACGATGCCAGTTCCACAGCGAGGGTCATACAGGGTACCAGATGTATATAATCATGAATTAAGACGCCTGTGCAATACTTTTAAATAACCCACTGACATTTTTGGGTTATCCCAGGTTCTCTACACATATGCAATGTATAATAATCTATAAATTTATTCATGTATACCCAAATAAACTTATTCTGTATTGAACTGAGAAAGCCACTGGTCGCCCAAAAGTTTAGTTTAAAGTCATTAGTGTACTCTAGACCATTTATATACACAAGGGTGTCAGAATATCAGCACATTTTAACAAGAAATGGCCAAAAATAATCTGATCCAAGGGTCTAATGGCCATACCGAGTTTGTGAATGGTGATCCTGTGTACCAAAATTAGGGCACAAAAATAAACTACATTACCTGGAAATTGGCTCAGTCTACCTGGTATCAAAGACTTGGATGGTACCTCATAAATGAACTATTATTCTCATTAAGTGGTATTACACCATCTTAGCCAATAATAGTAATGTTTGAAATGGAGATGTTGAGAGCTGACCTTCAGTTAATACTCTTGCAGTTGCAGGCAAGGACTGATCGAAGAGTCCCCTGGCTGCAGGCAAGAACTGATCAAAGACCCCCCTGGCTGCAGGCAAGGACTGACCAAAGACCCCCTGGCTGCAGGCAAGGACTGACCAAAGACCCCCCTGGCTGCAGGCAAGGACTGACCAAAGACCCCCCTGGCTGCAGGCAAGGACTGACCAAAGACCCCCCTGGCTGCAGGCAAGGACTGACCAAAGACCCCCCTGGCTGCAGGCAAGGACTGACCAAAGACCCCCCTGGCTGCAGGCAAGGACTGACCAAAGACCCCCCTGGCTGCAGGCAAGGACTGACCAAAGACCTCCCTGGCTGCAGGCAAGGACTGACCAAAGACCCCCCTGGCTGCAGGCAAGGACTGACCAAAGACCCCCCTGGCTGCAGGCAAGGACTGACCAAAGACCCCCCTGGCTGCAGGCAAGGAATGACCAAAGATCCCCCCCCATGACCGCAGGCAATGACTGACATAAGACCCCCCCCCTCCTGGCTGCAGGCAATGACTGACCAAAGACCCCCCCAGTTGTAAGCAAGGTCTGACCAAACACCCCCCTGACTGCAGGCAAGGTCTCATCAAAGACCCTCCCTCCTGGCTGCAGGCAGTACTGACCCAAACCCCTTCCCCTCCTGGCTGCAGGCAAGTTACACAGCAAGGAATCCATCTTTGTGTATCAAGTGTACTGATGAATCTAACACTGCCTGGTGTCCAATATTCACACAATTCTAGCTTTCATTCGACGCAACAATAGTCCTTCAGAACTTAATGCTCCAAGTCTGAGTGGAACGTAGTTGTAAGTTGACGTGTGCGCAAGTTGTGTTGTTCCTCTCACTATATTGTACCTATTCTTCACAGTATTACTGTGCATACGATATAGTGAGGTTGTCAGTTTTGATCAGAAATGGAGATTCAGTTTTTAATCGAGAGCCATTTACTTGCACTCGCTCACCTTTGAAAGGCCAATGGCAGCCTGATTTAGGGACAAAAATGATAAAACCACAATAAAAATTAGTTTTAATTTAAAAATATCTTAAAATGCTTTATAAAATTGGTAAAAAAGTGTAGCAGCAGCTAATTTGAGCCGAGTAAAAGCTGATTTATTGTATTACTGTACAAGTTATTGTAGCCTGGATGGTGGAGAGTACTGGTGATCAAACCAAGGCTGGTGTGGTTGTTAGGTTGATGCAGCAGGTTAAGATAAGGAACTACCTTCTGGCAGAGGAGAGAATGGGCCAAAAGTGTCAATGTTTATGGACTGAAGGAAGTACGAACGTTGTGAAGGATAATATTGAGACCAGGATGGTTGCTGGGTCGTCTGTGGTTGTCCACCAAAGTCAGGTCTTGATGTACCACCCGCCACCGGCGCCACACCTTCGTGTGGTAGCTGTAGAAGGAATAGATTTTTAACGTTTACAGTAAGAACATACTCGAGTGTATATATATTGAATGTCTGGGAAAAACACTTAACTAGTTAGTCCAAAAGGGTATTTATGGAGATTTAGATTTTGCCACCATAGTGGCTAGTTCATTGTGCACCCCATATCCATCTGGACGGTAGTGCAAGAGTACAGGGATATACAGTAGGCCTAGGAACTAGGCCTCAAAAGGGTTAACAGGTGTACATATGGATTCATATCTACAGTTCACTTATCTGTTACAAGCAAATTTAGTAAATTTAATATATCTGGTATCTTATTTTCCTTAATATATCTTGTCATGTCATAGGTTATTATACTGACTATTCCTCATTAAGTGGACAATTAAACAGTGTTCAAGACAGTGTCCATATGTTAAGTCCCCCTTCATCAAGGGGACTGATCAAAGACAGCAATTAGTTTGTGTTTTGGGCAATGAAGATGACTCACGAAATCGTAATGACACGTCTCTGAACATACCATACCACGGGTGGGGTTAGAACCCGCAGTCAGTCATAAAACTCCAGGCCTATGCGTTAACCACTGGAACAGCTGGCTACAATAAGATTATCCATCTAGGTGTATTTCTATATCATAGGAAGGTTATCATAGGCCACCACTGTCTGTGGAAACTTGCACTTGTGGCCACAGTGGTGGCCTATGCTAACCTTCCTATGGTGTATAAATATACCTAGTTGGACGCATCTTATTATAGCCAGTTGGTCCAGTGGCTAACACGCCAGTCTGGAGTTTTATGACTGACCGTGGGTTCTAACCCCACCAGTGGTATGGTTAGGCAATGATTTCTATAGGGGGGTACCTTCTGATCTTTGACAGGGGGGGGGATCACATTTCGAATTATTTTTTACTAATTTTCATCTCTTCACGAGATAGAATTTATTAGTAACCTTAATAACAGTAGTCTACCAAGACTCTGGAAAGATGGTCTGGAAGACTTGCAATGTAATTAAAAATTTATGCCATCACTGACGACAGAATTAATACAAAGGCTGCAAGTAATAAATCTTTGGTACCTATAACAGGTGTAAATATATTCAAGAACATGAGGAGCACTGCAGGAGGCCTACTGGCCCACACTATTAAGGGCCTTCTCAAACTCGAGCCCACTAACAAATATTCACACAAATAATTATAAATGTTACCCATCGAAAAAGCTTTTGATAACCTTAACTCTAATGCAAGTCTCTACTATCCTGGTAATCGAACCCCGTTTATTTTGGTTGCTAGCCGTATTCTACCACTGTTTTACAACCCTGTTATTAGGATTTCTCGTGTTACTTAAGAACATAAGAAGGAACATTGCAGCAGGCCTACTGACCCATGTGAGGCAGGTCCATGTCATTCCCCAGCTTAGATCAATGACCCACCTAGTCTGGTCACTTCCACATAAGTAGCACGGCATAAGACTAGTGGCACAAGCTAGTCAGGTCCAACACTTACACCCACCCACACCCACTCTTGTATTTATCTAACCCATTTGTAAAACACAAATTAACCAAAACGTGTCAGGTTTTCAGCTTACCTGACCACAACAGCAGCCCAAGCTGTGTAGATAGTAAGGATAAGCAGAGCTAGTAATGACAGGCCAAAGGCTTCCCAGGGCATGTCGCTGTCACCCTTCGAGTTTTTCTGCTGCCTTGCTGGTTGCCCACCTTCCTCGGACTTGTAGTTGGTATCCACGGTATTCTGAGGGAAAGAACGAAGTCAATCAGATCTGGTGAGGGGAAAAGGCGAGTGGTGCTCTGAGGAGTCTGTGGAGACTTATTAATGGCAGCATAAACTGGAATGTACGAGTATAAGATAAGATTTCGTTCGGATTTTTAACCCCGGAGGGTTAGCCACCCAGGATAACCCAAGAAAGTCAGTGCGTCATCGAGGACTGTCTAACTTATTTCCATTGGGGTCCTTAATCTTGTCCCCCAGGATGCGACCCACACCAGTCGACTAACACCCAGGTACCTATTTGCTGCTAGGTGAACAGGACAACAGGTGTAAGGAAACGTGTCGAAATGTTTCCACCCGCCGGGAATCGAACCCGGGCCCTCCGTGTGTGAAGCGGGAGCTTTAGCCACCAGGCCACCGGGTCACTCCCTGCACCATGACTTATCATACCTATGCTTAAAGCTATGTATGGATCCTGCCTCCACTACATCGCTTCCCAAACTGTTTCACTTCTTAACAACTCTGATTCATCTGTGCCTTCAACTTCCAACTGTGTCCCCTTGTTGCTGTGTCCCATCTGTGGAACATTGTCTGTCCACCTTGTCAATTCATCCCAGTATTTTATACGTCGTTATCATATCCCCCTTGTGTGAAGCACGAGCGGTAAATGCTGCAACAAGGAGAAGGCTGGAGGCAGTGTGAGATGTCAAACCAATCATTTAATTAAGGCAGTGATACTCAACCACGGGAAATTATGACGGCGACAAGTTTTTTGTATGGAAAAGGTGGTAAATGGAGACGCTGCTCGTCATGGCATTATCCTGGGTGTTAGTGGACTGGTGGGGGTGGCATCCTGTGTGTTAGTGGACTGGTGGGGGTGGCATCCTGGGTGTTAGTGGACTGGTGGGGTGGCATCCTGGGTGTTAGTGGACTGGTGGGGGTGGCATCCTGGGTGTTAGTGGACTGGTGGGGGTGGCATCCTGGGTGTAGTGGACTGGTGGGGGTGGCATCCTGGGTGTTAGTGGACTGGTGGGGTGGCATCCTGGGTGTTAGTGGACTGGTGGGGTGGCATCCTGGGTGTTAGTGGACTGGTGGGGGGGCATCCTGGGTGTTAGTGGACTGGTGGGGGTGGCATCCTGGGTGTTAGTGGACTGGTGGGGGTGGCATCCTGGGTGTTAGTGGACTGGTGGGGGTGGCATCCTGGGTGTTAGTGACTGGTGGGGGTGGCATCCTGGGTGTTAGTGGACTGGTGGGGGTGGCATCCTGGGTGTTAGTGGACTGGTGGGGTGGCATCCTGGGACAAAACTGATAATTTGAGGGAAATGCTCATCATAACAAGTGACTTTCTATGTAGTAGTATGTCTATACAGTAGTATGGTTTGTATACCTTGTAAATGTAGTTGTAGAAATTAGGAAATTATCTGGTTGTGACCCTGGAAGGTGGCGGGGTCCTGAAGAGTCACAGGCCAGCAAAGCAGCCTCTGCTGTCTCCAGGACAAGGACTTTTTCCCTTGCTTGCGTTGGGACTTTTCCCCGTCCAATAGTTTCTCCCATGCCGGGGGTACATGCTAGACACGCTTATAGTGATGTCCTCGGGCTGACATAATTGGCAGAAGTTACACTCCTGTGTAGTAGCGTGACTGATGAGAGTAATATCAGACCCTCTGACATAAGAGGTATGATCACAATCCTAGCATAGATCCCACAGCTAAATGGAAAGTTATGATAAATGGAAGAGGTACGATAAAGCTCCTGGCGCAGGACTTAGTCGTGACCAGTGAAGAGGCGGAAGGTGAGGAAGACTCCCACAAAGCTTCCACACCTTCCCCTTCCACAGCAGAAGCCCAGTTGCCAGGAAAATTCTGAACTTAAAACCGGTAGGGTAGGCTTCTTTTGGCAGAGATCCAGAAGCCAAGACCAGGATTCCTTAGTAAACAGGATCCAGCAAGCGATAGCAAAGATCTGGTCAAGGAGTACAGCTGGCAGCCATATTCCTGCCAGGTACGACACTAGTCCCACATACAGGCAGGGCGTTAGAAACACTACAGTAGGCCTACAGGCCCATACTTGGCAAGCCCTTGTCTTTGCATCAACAGATTTCCCACCTCTGTACGTAGCAGAGAATTCGTTACTTAAATGTTATGTCTTCCCACAAATCAATCAATAGACTACTTACCCGGACGTATCAAATCCTGGTATACACGATATACAGACCATTGCTGACATCAGTGACATACTACTATATAGAAAGCCGCTTGTTATGCTGAGCATTTCCCGTAAATTATATCAGTTTTGTCCCAGGATGTGACCCACACCAGTCCACTAACACCCAGGATGTGACCCACACCAGTCCACTAACACCCAGGATGTGACCCACACCAGTCCACTAACACCCAGGATGTGACCCACACCAGTCCACTAACACCCAGGATGTGACCCACACCAGTCCACTAACACCAGGTACCCATTTTACTCTGATAGGTGAACAGAGAGCAGTTATCTTATGGAAACACGTCCCTAAGTTTTCCAGCCGTACCGGAGGAGATTTAAACCCCGGACCACAGTGTGTGAGCCGAGTACGCTACCGATCTAGCTACTGGACACCTTTTTAGGTATAGTAATGTCAGACATCCGCCATAAATTACCTACCTTCGTGCTTATTATTTGATGTTTATTGAGCGTTATTAAGCGTGTGCTGAAGACTGTGTCCCTGGAAGCCGGTGCGTGCTGAGCGTACTGGAAGGCTCCAGCAACACACAGGTATATGGAGAACACTGCTAGTGGCGTCAACACCAACAAACACAAAGCGTCCACTACGATGGCTCTACGAATCTCTGGACTGTCGTAGCTCAATAAGAACTGAAATATATATGCATTAATACGTCATGGAACAGTTTTAACGACTTGGCCAGACTCACTATTTGACATAAGCCTTTCTCTGTGGCTAGTTAATAGTCCAAGGTGGATCGAAACGTTGTTTGTCTATGTGAATGTTATTTGTGCATTGCTAATCTTACGATGTTGTAATCAGTCCACTTAATTTTTGTAATTATCTCATATCCAGGTGAATTATGACCCCATGTTGGGCCAGATTATCTAATGTATCTGTCTTACTTCTACGTTTAAGTATTTCTGGTACAATATAAACTTGAGATTAAGACATGTGCAACATCTGGGTATCTTTATTGTAGACGTTTCGCCATCCAGTGGCTTTATCAATACAAATTCTAGGACATAACTAGAAGACAGTAGAACTATGTACAGAAGATGAGGTAATCAGTCCCTCAACCTAGCAATAGGTGCGAAGAGCACCATAGTCGTGGAGATTCTCCGCGACTATGGTGCTCTTCGCACCTATCCTAGGTTGAGGGACTGATTACCTCATCTTCTGTACATAGTTCTGCTGTCTTCTAGTTATGTCCTAGAATTTGTATTGATAAAGCCACTGGAGGGCGAAACGTCTACAATAAAGATACCCAGATGTTGCACATGTGTCTTAAACTCATCTTGTCGGTATTATATACCATTCGTACACAATATAAACTTATATTGACCACAAATGACAAGTCAGGTCATTGAATCTACAAGTCAGATCACTGAATCAGGAAGTCAGGTCATTGAATCAGTAAGTGATTATCTGAGTATTTGCTGAAGCCATTACTTCAGTTAACAATTATACAGATTATATAATTTAGTGACAAATCTAACCGATATATTATAATTTCTAACTAAAGTTGTACCATTGTTCATTTAGCGACTTATTGTACAGGTGTTAATTAACTCCATTAAGTCCAAAAATGTTTAATTACGTGTAAACTAAATTGTACCATTAGAAAAAATTGGACCTTCGTTTCCTGAAAATTAGTTTTATCCATACCTGGAGGGGTTTTCGGGGGTCAACGCCCCCGCGGTCTGTTCTAAGACCTGGCCTTGTGTCTAAGACACAGAGGAAAACCTACAGACATTACCTTCCAGTAGATGTGGAATATATACCCACTGGGAAAGAGATATCCACTGGGGGAAATATACCCACTGGGGGAGACCTACAGAAAATTCCCTTTTCCAGTAGATGTGGAATATATACCCACTGGGAAAGATATCCACTGGGGAAGATATACCACTGGGGGACCTACGACATTACCTTCCAGTAGATGTGGAATATATACCCACTGGGAAAGATCCACTGGGGAAGATATACCCACTGGGGGAGACCTACAGACATTACCTTCCAGTAGATGTGGAATATATACCCATTTGGGGAAAGATATCCACTGTGGAAGATATACCCACTGGGGAGAGACCTACAGACATTACCTTCCAGTAGATGTGGAATATATACCCACTGGGAAAGATCCACTGGGGAAGATATACCACTGGGGAGACCTACAGACATTACCATTCCAGAGATGTGAATATATACCCACTGGGGAAAGATATCCACTGGGGGAAGATATACCCACTGGGGGAGACCTACAGACATTACCTTCCAGTAGATGTGGAAAATATACCCACTGGGGAAAGATATCCACTGGGGGAGACCTACAGACATTACCTCCCAGAAAGGTTTAGGAGACAGTCTTATGGTGTAAGCGAAGCCACACAGCTCACACCTCTGACAGGTAGTGATGGTAAGCCAGTGTTCCAGGCACGTCTTGTGGATCCAGCCCATCGTCCCCATACACAGACACGGGGAGATAAGGTCTCCCACACTCTCACCTGCAGACATTATATTAATTATGGAGCGCTGAACCCGTAGGGATTATACAGAGCCTTGGGGGGATGGGAGGTATTGAGGCTTAATTCAGGAACCAGGAACAGATTCAATTCCCTGGATCAAGAGCCCCTCACCAGCGTCAAGGAACCTCCCTTGAGAGGGTTACCTGAAGAATTACTCGACTATTATTCTGCCTCTAGACAATTGTCGACATAATATATAATACTCAATAGTGACCTAACTTGCACACGCATTTTTAACCATACCATGGGCGGGGTTAGAACCCGCGGCCAGAGTCGTAACACTCCAGACGGACGCGTTAGCCACTAGACCAGCTAGCTACAAGATTTATCCAACTAAGTATATTTATACACCATTGGAAGGTTAGTATAGGCCACCACTGTGACCACAGATGCAAGTTTTGATAAACGAATCTCCCGCTAACGTGGCCGTGACAAGCTCCAGCTCATGTACTCGCCAAACTGTACTCGCCTAATTGTGGTTGCAGGGGTCGAGACTCTGCTCCTGGCCCCTCTTCACTGAACGCTACTAGGTCCTCTCTCCCTGCTCCATCACTTTTGTCATACCTCATCTTAAAGCTATGTATGGTGTCATAACATTTACGATGCCTTCAGCCTTAGTTCCACTTTATAGACACTACATTAGTGTTTAAACCAGCAAACACTACTACAAGTGCCATTACTACTACAAGTGAAATTACTACTACAAGTGCCATTACTACTACAAGTGCCATTACTACTACAAGTGCCATTACTACTACAAGTGCCATTACTACAAGTGCCATTACTACAAGTGTCATTACTACAAGTGCCATTACTACAAGTGCCATTATTACTACAAGTGCCATTATTACTACAAGTGCCATAATTACTACAAGTGCCATCACTACAAGTGCCATTACTACAAGTGCCATAATTACTACAAGTGATTATTACTACAAGTGCCATAATTACTAGTGCCATAATTACTACAAGTGCCATTATTACTACAAGTGCCAATATTACTACAAGTGCCAATATTACTACAAGTGCCATAATTACTACAAGTGCCATAATTACTACAAGTGCCATTACTACAAGTGCCATTACTACAAGTGCCATAATTACTACAAGTGCCATAATTACTAGTGCCATAATTACTACAAGTGCCATTATTACTACAAGTGCCAATATTACTACAAGTGCCAATATTACTACAAGTGCCATAATTACTACAAGTGCCATTACTACTACAAGTGCCATAATTACTACAAGTGCCATAATTACTACAAGTGCCATAATTACTACAAGTGCCATAACTAGAAATTCTTAATAGGCTGCATAATGGCAGTTTCCTGATGTAGGCTTCAGGTGCCGAGACTAATTAAGGCCATTTACGTCATCCAGCACTTAAAGCAGTAAGTCACAATTGATAAAAATTACCATGGAAAAAATATATCACACCTGGTTTCAATAACCGGCACTTAAAAAATATCAAAAATTCCTGATAATTTCGGGACATTTTGGCCGCCCATTAAATTTTGCCAGACTCAAAATTTCAGGTCTTATGGCAATGACTACAAAATACAAGGTATACATGTACAAGGTATACATGCACAAGGTATACATGCACAAGGTATACATGCACAAGGTATACATGCACAAGGTATACATGCACAAGGTATACATGCACAAGGTATACATGCACAAGGTATACATGCACAAGGTATACATGCACAAGGTATACATGCACAAGGTATACATGTACAAGGTATACATGCACAAGGTATACATGCACAAGGTATACATGCACAAGGTATACATGCACAAGGTATACATGCACAAGGTATACATGCACAAGGTATACATGCACAAGGTATACATGCACAAGGTATACATGCACAAGGTATACATGTACAAGGTATACATGTACAAGGTATACATGCACAAGGTATACATGCACAAGGTATACATGCACAAGGTATACATGTACAAGGTATACATGTACAAGGTATACATGTACAAGGTATACATGCACAAGGTATACATGCACAAGGTATACATGCACAAGGTATACATGCACAAGGTATACATGCACAAGGTATACATGCACAAGGTATACAGGCACAAGGTATACAGGCACAAGGTATACATGCACAAGGTATACATGCACAAGGTTATCATGCACAAGGTATACATGCACAAGGTATACATGCACAAGGTATACATGCACAAGGTATACATGCACAAGGTTATACATGCACAAGGTATACATGCACAAGGTATACAGGCACAAGGTATACAGGCACAAGGTATACAGGCACAAGGTATACAGGCACAAGGTATACAGGCACAAGGTATACAGGCACAAGGTATACAGGCACAAGGTATACAGGCACAAGGTATACATGATACAACTTATACAGACCATAGTTGACACCTATGACATACTACTGTATAGAAAGTACCTTGTTATGCTGAGCATTTCCCGCAAATTAGGTCAGTTTTGTCCCAGGATGTGACCCACACCAGTCCACTAACACCCAAGATGTGACCCACACCAGTCCACTAACACCCAGGATGTGACCCACACCAGTCCACTAACACCCAGGTACCCATTTTACTTATGGGTGAACATAGACAACCGGCGTAAAGAAACACGCCCAATGCTTCTACTCTCGCTGGGAATCAAACCCGGATCCTCACTGTATGAAGCGAGAATTTTTAGCCCCCAGGCCAAGGGACCCCAAACGAGACACTGGGTTCACTACCGAGTGGCAGGATACAGCAGGGGAGATTATACATTAAAATGGTATAAAATACCGACAGGTTGTTAGGTAAGACACATATGCAACAGTTAGGTATCTTTATTTCGAAACGTTTCGCCTACACAGTAGGCTTCTTCAGTCGAGTACAGAAAAGTTGATAGAAGCAGAAGATACTTGAAGACGATGTAATCAGTCCATCACCCTTAAAGTTTTGAGGTGGTCAGTCCCTCAGTCTGGAGAAGAGCATTGTTCCATAGTATGAAACAATATTGTTTCATACTATGGAACAATGCTCTTCTCCAGACTGAGGGACTGACCACCTCAAAACTTTAAGGGTGATGGACTGATTACATCGTCTTCAAGTATCTTCTGCTTCTATCAACTTTTCTGTACTTGACTGAAGAAGCCTACTGTGTAGGCGAAACGTTTCACAATAAAGATACCTAACTGTTGCATATGTGTCTTACCTAACAGGGGAGATTATAATACACAGGACACATGGACAGAGAATAGAATTTTTGCTGCTAGATACATACCCTCATGACATATGCGACACATGGGTCCTGTGCTGCTCTTGTTGCTGTGGCAGGATACAGGTGGTGATGCTATATGTGCCACTGAAGCTGACAGTTTAGTTCCTGAAGGTGCAAGTCCGACAGTGGAAAGTGAGCTGTCAGCGAGATGTGGTAGGCCGCTGGGGGACGTATTTGTGGTAGCACAGCAACTGCTAGCTGGAAAACCCATGGGCCTATTGGATGGGGTCCTGGCATCACTCGGCCCACAGGGTGAAATCGGTGAAGCTGTGGGCCCGCAGGGTGAAATCGACGAAGTGGTGGGCCCAGAGGATAAAATCGGCGAAGCAGTGGGCCCAGAGGATAAAATCGGCGAAGCAGTGGGCCCAGAGGATAAAATCGGCGAAGCAGTGGGCCCAGAGGATAAAATCGGCGAAGCAGTGGGCCCAGAGGATAAAATCGGCGAAGCAGTGGGCCCAGAGGATAAAATCGGCGAAGCAGTGGGCCCAGAGGATACAGCCAGGGAATCACCAGCCACAGAAGAGGAACTCAAGTGTACAGACATGTGTGGTGAAGCCTGGCAGGTGTCTGAACAAGGTTCCATGGTCTGGCAGGTGTCTGAACAAGGTTCCATGGTCTGGCAGGTGTCTGAACAAGGTTCCATGGTCTACCCTGCAAGAACATTAGACATTATCTCTCCTACAAATATACCTCAAAGCACTTTAAAGCAACATTACCAAACTGAAAAATCTGGTAATTTACTACACTAACAAGTCAAAATACAGAGGTACCTCGGTATACGTCCTTAATTCGTTCCAGGACTTGTACCAAACAGGACGTATACCAAACGAATTATACAATGATGGGGTGTATAAAATAATTTAAACGCTGCTTATTGCTAAAATACATACAAATAAAAAAATAGATAAATGCAATTTAACCTGACAACTTTGTTGTCAGGTTAAATTGTAAAGTTTAGTGTCCACTAGGATAGTGCTGAGAAGGGAGGAAATGTTTGGAAGGAGAGTCACCTTCTGTTTTCTGTTTCTTTTCCCTATTTCGTCCTGGTTGAAGCTCACCAGGTTTGATTTACTGAAAATCTGTCTGAAGAACTTTGCTTCTGCCTTCTTAGGATGTTTGGGAACTGTGACATCGTCTGGTTATTGTAGATAAAGTTATTACAGCTTGTTTGGGGTCTCTTGGGGTGGTACATCTCTGCAAAGTTTTTGACGTCCATCCATTTGGCAAAGATTTCCTTGATTAACGAAGTAGGTGACTTCCTTTATCTCTTCTTCCAAGCCTGAAGAGTGCATCCATCTTAGTCTTGTGCTCCTCTCGAGAGAGATAATGAAGAGTAACGTGACTCACTTTAACCCTTAAGTTCCAGCACGGGAGTCGTCCAAACAGGACGTATACCAAGCTGGACTTATTCCAAAGCGGACGAATACCGAGGTACCACTATTTGCTTTCGGTCCCTCAAGTCAGTGTATTAACAATGTTTAGCACAATGAGAGTAGCTTTTTCAACACTGGCTGTATCCCACCGAGGCAAGGAGACTCAAAAACTAAATTTTCTCTAACTTTAGTAATGTACACAGGAAAATGGAGTTACTAGCCCCTTGTGATGAATGGTTTGAAAAACCGACAAGTTGAAGACTGAGACACTTACGCAACATATTTGGGGAAACTTTGTTCAGGAAACGTTTCGCCACACAGTGACTTCATCAGTCCAATACAAAGTAGAAAGGCGTAAGGAGAGGACGATGGACTGAACACATCGACTCCAGGCTGAGGGACTGATTACCTTAAACTCCTCCTCTCCTTACGCCTTTCTACTTTGTATTGGACTGATGAAGCCACTGTGTGGCGAAACGTTTCCTGAATAAAGATTCCCATGAAAGTTAAGACATGTGCAACATCTGGATATCTTTATTGTAGACGTTTCGCCATCCAGTGGCTTTATCAATACAGATTCTAGGACATAATAGGAAGACAGTAGAACTATATACAAAAGATGAGGTAATCAGTCCCTCAGCCTTGGAGTTAGTGTTCACAGCATCGTGGTGGAGGAGAATCTGGAGCAAAGACAAGACGACTGGCGGTTATATAGGCGTCAGTGGATAGGGACGGGCAGCAGACGAGGGCAAAGTCACTGGTAGGCGGGATTCCCCAGTGGAAGTAGGTCCTATCCACTGACGCCTATATAACCGCCAGTCTTCTTGTCTTTGCTCCAGATTCTCCTCCACCACGATGCTGTGAACACTAACACCAAGGCCGAGGGACTGATTACCTTATCTTTTGTATATAGTTCTACTGTCTTCCTAGTATGTCCAAGAATCTGTATTGATAAAGATACTGGATGGCGAAACGTCTACAATATTTTATACCTGTCTTGCACAAAGATTCCCATATGTGGCATAAGTGTCTCAGTCTTCTACTAGCCCCTTGCTCTCGGCATTTTAGTCGCCTCTTACCTGGAGTTTACCTGGAGTTTACCTAGAGGAATAATTCTATTCCACTTATCCTTATTTATAAGTCAAACATCTGAGTACTCCTGCCAAGACTCGAGGTATAAACAGGGATACAGGTGTGTATCCCAGCATCACTAGTGAAGGAAAAACTCACCGAGTCTTATCTGGCCGACTAGACAAGAGAATTTTAATGAGGATCTCCATGTTTGTTTAGTAAAATATTAACTAAGAACTTCCAGAAGTAATTAGAAACTTGACAGGTTGGTACATAAGTCTGATATTTGCCAATATTTGTTAGCTTTAAGAAGGACTTTCCTAGTATGGGTCAGTAGGCCTACTGTCGCGGGGCCTTGTTAGGTTAAAAGTTCTTAAATCCCTACAGGTAGACCCTTGGCTGTCTTCAAGACACCCCCACCCCCCACGGCTGTCTTCAAGACACCCCCACCCCCCACGGCTGTCTTCAAGACACCCCCCCCCCCACGGCTGTCTTCAAGACACCCCCACCCCCCACGGCTGTCTCAAGACACCCCCACCCCCCACCCCCTGTCTTCAAGACACCCCCACCCCCCCACGGCTGTCTTCAAGACACCCCCACCCCCCCCCACGGCTGTCTTCAAGACACCCCCACCCCCCCCCCGGCTGTCTTCAAAACACCCCCACACCCCCCCCGGCTGTCTTCAAGACACCCCCACACCCCCACGGCTGTCTTCAAGACACCCCCACCCCCACGGCTGTCTTCAAGACACCCCCCCCCCCCACGGCTGTCTTCAAGACACCCCCCCCCCCCCACGGCTGTCCCTTTAAGACACCCCCACCCCCCCGGCTGTCTTCAAGACACCCCCACCCCCCACGGCTGTCTTCAAGACACCCCACCCCCCAAAGGCTGTCTTCAAGACACCCCACCCCCCACGGCTGTCTTCAAGACACCCCCACCCCCCACGGTGTCTTCAATGACACCCCCACCCCCCACGGCTGTCTTCAAGACACCCCCACCCCCCCACGGCTGTCTTCAAAACACCCCCACCCCCCACGGCTGTCTTCAAGACACCCCACCCCCCCACGGCTGTCTTCAAGACACCCCCACCCCCCACGGCTGTCTTCAAGACACCCCCACCCCCCACGGGCTGTCTTCAAGACACCCCCACCCCCCACGGCTGTCTTTCAAGACACCCCCACCCCCCACGGCTGTCTTTAAGGGCACCCCCACCCCCCACGGCTGTCTTCAAGACACCCCCACCCCCCACGGGCTGTCTTCAAGACACCCCCACCCCCCACGGCTGTCTTCAAGACACCCCCACCCCCCACGGCTGTCTCAAAACAACCCCACGCTGATTCAGACCCACCCCACGGCTGTCTTCAAGACCACACCCCCCACGGCTGCCTTCAAGACACCACAACCCCCCACGGCTGCCTTCAAGACACCCCCACCCCCCACGGCTGCTTCAAGACACCACCACCCCCCCACGGCTGTCTTCAAGACACACACCCCCACGGCTGCTTCAAGACACACACCCCCACGGCTGCCTTCAAGACACACACCCCCCACGGCTGCCTTCAAGACACACACCCCCCACGGCTGCCTTCAAGACACACACCCCCCACGGCTGCCTTCAAGACACACACCCCCCACGCTGCCTTCAAGACACACACCCCCCACGGCTGCCTTCAGACACACACCCCCCACGGCTGCCTTCAAGACACACACCCCCCACGGCTGCCTTCAAGACACACACCCCCCACGGCCCGCCTTCAAGACACACACCCCCACGGCTGCCTTCCAAAACACACACCCCCCACGGCTGCCTTCAAGACACACACCCCCCACGGCTGCCTTCAAGACACACACCCCCCACGGCTGCCTTCAAGACACACACCCCCCACGGCTGCCTTCAAGACACACCCCCCACGCTGCCTTCAAGACACACACCCCCCACGGCTGCCTTCAAGACACACACCCCCCACGGCTGCCTTCAAGACACACACCCCCCACGGCTGCCTTCAAGACACACACCCCCCACGGCTGCCTTCAAGACACCACACCCCCCACGGCTGCCTTCAAGACACACACCCCCCACGGCTGCCTTCAAGACACACACCCCCCACGGCTGTCTTCAAGACACACACCCCACGGCTGTCTTCAAGACACCCCCCCCCACGGCTGTCTTCAAGACACCCCCCCCACGGCTGTCCTTCAAACCACCCACGGCTGTCTTCAAGACCTACCCCGGCTGTCTTCAAGACCTACCCACGGCTGTCTTCAAGATCCCCCCACGGCTGTCTTCAAGATCCCCCCACGGCTGTCTTCAAGATCCCCCCCACGGCTGTCTTCAAGATCCCCCCCACGGCTGTCTTCAAGATCCCCCCACGGCTGTCTTCAAAAACCCCCCCCGGCCGTCTTCAAAAACCCCCCGGCCGTCTTCAAAATACCTCCGGCTGTCTTCAACTCCTCCCCCCCCGGCCGTCTTCAAAACCCCCGGCTGTCTTCAAACCCCCCCGGCTGTCTTCAAACCCCCCCCCGGCTGTCTTCAAAACCCCCCCCGGCTGTCTTCAACCCCCCCGGCTGTCTTCAACCCCCCCCCCCGGCTGTCTTCAAACCTCCCCCGGCTGTCTTCAAACCCCCCCGGCTGTCTTCAACCCCCCCCGGCTGTTTCAACCCCCCCCCCCCCGGCTGTCTTCAACCCTCCCCCCCCGGCTGTCTTCAACCCTCCCCCGGCTGTCTTCAACCCCCCCGGCTGTCTTCAACCCCCCCCCGGCTGTCTTCAAAACCCCCCCGGCTGTCTTCAAGCCCCCCCCGGCTGTCTTCAAGAAGTAACTGGACAAGCACCTAAAATCAGTACCTGACCAGCCGGTCTGATTCGTTCGTCGGGTTGCGTGCGGCCAACAGTAACAGCCTGGTTGATCAGGCCCTGATCCATCATTACCCCTGGTCACAGACCGGGCCGCGGGGGCGTCGATCCCCGAAAGCCCCTACAGGCATACTCCAGGTACCACTGCCGACAGAAGAGTTTCCATACGGGACCAGGAGCTGTGACTCGACCCAAGCAACCGCCAGTCCCTTAAACCTCAGTACAGACCGAACTACCGGCTGATTATAATCGAAAGTAAGAGCTAAACTCGCAAGGGCGATACAACTGGGCAGGCGGCGCCGCACATGACCTGTGTGACGGCAGCAACTAGGGTTAATAGAAGAGATTTCGTTCGGATTTTTAACCCCGGAGGGTTAGCCACCCAGGATAACAGAAGAAGTCATGATGTGACCCACACCAGTCCACTAACACCCGGGGTGCGACCCCGGGTGTTAGTGGACTGGTGTGGGGTCGCACCCCGGGTGTTTAGTGGACTGGTGTGGGGTCGCACCCCGGGTGTTAGTGGATCTGGTGGGGTCGCACCCCGGGTGTTAGTGGACTGGTGGTGGGGTCGCACCCCGGGTGTTAGTGGACTGGTTGTGGGGTCGCACCCCGGGTGTTAGTGGACTGGTGTGGGGTCGCACCCCCGGGTGTTAGTGGACTGGTGTGGGGTCGCACCCCGGGTGTTAGTGGACTGGTGTGGGTCGCACCCCGGGTGTTAGTGGACTGGTGTGGGTCGCACCCCGGGTGTTAGTGGACTGGTGTGGGGTCGCACCCCGGGTGTTAGTGGACTGGTGTGGGGTCGCACCCCGGGTGTTAGTGGACTGGTGTGGGGTCGCACCCCGGGTGTTAGTGGACTGGTGTGGGGTCGCACCCCGGGTTTAGTGGACTGGTGTGGGGTCGCACCCCGGTGTTAGTGGACTGGTGTGGGGTCGCACCCCGGGTGTTAGTGGACTGGTGTGGGGTCGCACCCCCGGGTGTTAGTGGACTGGTGTGGGGTCGCACCCGGGTGTTAGTGGACTGGTGTGGGGTCGCACCCCGGGTGTTAGTGGACTGGTGTGGGGTCGCACCCCGGGTGTTAGTGGACTGGTGTGGGGTCGCACCCCGGGTGTTAGTGGACTGGTGTGGGGTCGCACCCCGGGTGTTAGTGGACTGGTGTGGGGTCGCACCCCGGGTGTTAGTGGACTGGTGTGGGGTCGCACCCCGGTGTTAGTGGACTGGTGTGGGGTCGCACCCGGGTGTTAGTGGACTGGTGTGGGTCGCACCCGGGTGTTAGTGACTGGTGTGGGGTCGCACCCCGGGTGTTAGTGGACTGGTGTGGGGTCGCACCCCGGGTGTTAGTGGACTGGTGTGGGGTCGCACCCCGGGTGTTAGTGGACTGGTGTGGGGTCGCACCCCGGGTGTTAGTGGACTGGTGTGGGGTCGCACCCGGGTGTTAGTGGACTGGTGTGGGGTCGCACCCCGGGTGTTAGTGGACTGGTGTGGGTCGCACCCCGGTGTTAGGGGGACTGGTGTGGGGTCGCACCCCGGGTGGTTAGTGGACTGGTGTGGGGTCGCACCCCGGGTGGTTAGTGGACTGGTGTGGGGTCGCACCCCGGGTGTTAGTGGACTGGTGTGGGGTCGCACCCCGGGTGTTAGTGGACTGGTGTGGGGTCGCACCCCGGGTGTTAGTGGACTGGTGTGGGGTCGCACCCCGGGTGTTAGTGGACTGGTGTGGGGTCGCACCCCGGGTGTTAGTGGACTGGTTGTGGGGTCGCACCCGGGTGTTAGTGGACTGGTGTGGGGTCGCACCCCGGTGTTAGTGGACTGGGTGTGGGGTCGCACCCCGGTGTTAGTGGACTGGTGTGGGGTCGCACCCCGGGTGTTAGTGGACTGGTGTGGGGTCGCACCCCGGGTGTTAGTGGACTGGTGTGGGTCGCACCCCGGGTGTTAGTGGACTGGTGTGGGGTCGCACCCCGGGTGCTAGTGGACTGGTGTGGGTCACATCCCGGGAGTTAGTGGACTGGTGTGGGTCACATCCCGGGAGTTAGTGGACTGGTGTGGGTCACATCCCGGGAGTTAGTGGACTGGTGTGGGTCACATCCCGGGAGTTAGTGGACTGGTGTGGGGTCACATCCCGGGAGTTAGTGGACTGGTGTGGGTCACATCCCGGGAGTTAGTGGACTGGTGTGGGTCACATCCTGGGTGTTAGTGGACTGGTGTGGGTCACATCCTGGGTGTTAGTGGACTGGTGTGGGTCACATCCTGGGTGTTAGTGGACTGGTGTGGGTCACATCCTGGGACAAAACTGACCTAATATGGGAAATGCTCAGCATAACAAGGTACTTTCTATACAGTAAGTCATTGATGTCAACTATGGTCTGTATACCTTGTACATGTAGAAATAGATATTAACAAGTGGGTGATGATAGATACCAGTGTCTTCCTCATCTATCCCTTCATCAATTAATCAAACAAAAGCCTATTCAATTCTGGAGGCCGTGCAGACACAGCAGCGCCTGGGTAATGACAGACTAAACCCAAAATCTAAACTTACGTGGACCAAGAACATGGAGGTGGCTGGAGGCAGCCAATTGTGGTTCCAGGGGTCGAGACTCAGCTCCTGGACCCGCCTCTTGACTGGTCGCTACTGAGATTGTGTGTGGGGATGTGTAGATAATTACTAACCCGAGTCAGGGAACCTCAGTCATCATTAACAATGTTCATACAGTAATTATGGTTACAATTGCTTTCCTTGTTCTAGTTAAAATTAACTGGTTAAGTTAAAAATTAACTGGGATTTGTCTAGTTTATGACTTTCCTAGGCCTAACAAGCCTACTTACGCTACTAAGATAGTTCGGTCATTACGTACTCCCCTGAGACAAGACCGGTTAGGTGACCCAGACTAGCCGTACAGCCATCTTAAGGCCAGTCAATATTAATTTGTAATATGTACAACTTATCCGGTAGTCACAGTATCCTTATCGCACAGCACTTGGTGTTTGAGGACCATTATAACCAAGTTATCTTTAAAGATTTAGAAGGTCAGCTGGACAGGTCATTATGTCAGGTCACCTAAGGTCATTATGTCAGGTTACCCAATTTCATTATGTCAGGTCACCTAAGGTCATTATGTCAGGTCACCTAAGGTCATTATGTCAGGTCACGTTGTCATGTCAACAAGTTACCTAAGGTCATGTCAGGTCACCTGATGTCATTATGTCAGGTCACCTGATGTCATTATGTCAGGTCACCTCATGTCATTATGTCAGGTCACCTCATGTCATTATGTCAGGTCACCTCATGTCATTATGTCAGGTCACCTCATGTCATTATGTCAGGTCACCTCATGTCATTATGTCAGGTCACCTGATGTCATTATGTCAGGTCACCTGATGTCATGTCAACAAGTTACCCGAGGTCATTATGTCAGGTCACCTGAGGTCAGAAGGTAACCTGTACACCAGTTAGTTTAATATGTTTATTATGCACCCCATACCCAGTCAGACGTAATTTGTAATCAGTAATCTATGGACAAAATTCAATTGCCAGACACTTATACACACCTGAGAAGTGTATTAGGAGAGGATGTATCAGAGGATACGAGTCACTGACAGCTACCAGGTATGAACTCAGCAAGCAACTACTGACTGACTCACTACTGACTCACTACTGGGTCTTAGTGCTCAAGCTGACCCCAAGATGAACAACTTACTGAACCATTGGATCGAACCCCTGGTTGGCATGTTCTAAATTACAAACACTGACCTCTGCCCACCTTTCAGTCTAGGCCTATATATACCCAGTGCCTACTGTGACTTCTGTGATTGTGTCCCAAGTATTGTAGCAGTTTGTAGACAGCTGAAACAGCTACTAAGCAAGGTCACTATATGCTTCGCATTTAACTCGACAACGCGTTTCACATATATCAAATATTAACAATCTGTAAGAATTATAATATATATAATATATATATATATATATATATATATATATATATATATATATATATAATATATATATATATATATATATATATATATATATAAATCTGTGAGGTGTGTGGTGTGTGTGTTGTGTGGTTTAGGGAGAGAAGGTTTCAAAATGCGGGCTGAGGCAGTGGTTCGGGAAATCTGGCTGAGGTATGGTTCGGAAAGACGACTGGGTAATATCTGAGTAACTGGATATGTTTGTAGAGAATGGTTCAAAACCGACATTTTGATAAATTAGAACATGTGGCAACTTTTGGGGTATCTTTATTGAGGAAACGTTTCGCCACACATGCTTCATCAGCCCATAAAAAGGATAAACTTAAAAGAACAGGGAGATGAGGTAATCATTTCCCAACCTGATCGATGTGGTCAGTCCATCAATCTTGATAAAAAAGGGCATACGAGTTTTAGAAGCATTTATAAACCGAGGGCAGGAGATTGCCAGGGGAGGTGGGTCACTTTGTCCAATGGGGAAGAGGGTCGTCCCCAAAGGGGTTTAGGAAAGTGAAGAATTCCCAAGTATTAAGTCCCAAAAGTTGCAGTGCTGACAATTGTTAGTAAGACACAATGCAACATTGACAACTTTTTTTCCGAAACGTTTCCCCACACAGTACTTTTTCAGTCGAAACAGAAAGTAGGCGGGAAACAGTAAGATGGAAGACGATGAATATCCATCACCCTTAAAGTCGAGAATTGAGGTTGTCATCCCTCGGCCGGGAAAAGTTCAGTTCCAATCAGGAACATCTGGTAAGCGACAGTGGGGGTTTAAATACTGTGGGAAAGGGAAGGGCAGGGAGAAGTATTAGTAGTATGGGAGGGGCAATTGAAGTCATGTCCCCTCAATCCAACCCTTCTCACTTAAAAGCTTGTCCAAAGGTGTTTTCTGTCCCAAAGATGCCACGGTTGCATTTTCGACAAGATGAACACAAAATGGATACAAAACCGACGGGTTTTGTTGGGAAAGACCATATCAACATTTTAAAAATTTTTAAATTCCGAAACTTTTTCGCCTACACTAGGCTTTTTCAGTCGAATACAAAAAGTGGGCAGGAACATAGAGATGTGAAGACGAAATCAGTCCATCACCCAAAAGCGAGAATTTGATTGTCAGCCCCTGGGCCGGGAGAATTCAGTTCCATAGTAGGAACTATCTGAAGATCAAGCGACAGTGCGGAGACTTAAATACTGGGGAAGGAGAGGTGCAGGGTAAAGTAGTAGTAGTATGGAACTGAACTTCTCCGGGCCGAGGGACTGAAACCCAAATTCTACGACTTTAAGGTGATGGCTGATTACATCGTCTTCACTCTTACTGTTCCGCCTACTTCTGTATTGACTGAAAAACCACTGTGTAGGCGAACTTTCGGAATAAAATGTCTAACGTTGCATATGTTCTTACCTAACAACCTGTCGGGATTGTAACCATTTGTGTTTACTGACAGGGTTTTAGATAAAGGGTTTACACAGCTAGTATGGGGTGTGGGGGGAAATCTGTATCGGGGTTCCCCAGGGGTCCTGCACCCTGAAGATGTCATTGAGGTGGCCAATACCCTCGATTTACGCTGACAGCTATTGGACCCAGGGTTTTTTCCACAGCAGAGCAGAGGAAAAAGTGCCGATTCTGTGACTCTTCACATATGGGGGCGAAGGTACCCAAAGGGAAAACCCCTAGGGTTTTTGACAAAAAGCAAAACCAGCAACCCCTGAAAAGTGGGCGTGGGGTTGGTTTTCGATGGGTGGAGGATGGCTCTTGGGCGAGGAGGTGGAAGGGGGGGGGAGGTATTGGGGACTGTTTACCCCCCCAGAGGTAAAAAGGGAGATCCCCGATGCCCGAGGGAAAGGGGATGTGAAGGACTACCCAGGAGAGGTTGGAAGCAGGCTGCAGGATTTTTGGAAAAGCCGGAGGGCCCGGAGGATGGAGCCCCGGGGGTTATGTCGGTGCAGCAGCTGAATGGGAAGCAGGGACGATAGAGTCTTGCGAAGGACGGGAAAAGGGGAAAGGGGGGGTGGGGAGGTTCCGAGGCTCACATAAAAGATATGTGTGTGAGTGGACCTGCAACGAACTGCAGGGTCCGAAATGGAGAGGGGCCTTAAAAACCCCGGGGAAGGGCCCGGAAAAGGCATGGGGGACTGGGTGGAAAGGCAAAACAGGGGGGGGGGTTTCAGGGGGAACCTGAGGGGAGAGCAAGGGGGGGGTTTGGGACAGGTTTGGAAGGGTGAAAAGAGGTATGGGTAAAAGAAAGGGGGTTGAGTAAGCCACAGTGGGATAGGGTAACGCCTTTCCTGGGAAGTTCAGGG